AGTTTTCATTACATTCACAAGTGTTTTGTGTTGAATAGTGTTATGAATTGATGTGTAAAAACATGTGTTTGTATCGCATATACCTATAGTTAATTGTTTTGTAATTTACCAACACTTTGTTTGTTGAAATTTGAAAATTATCGAGTTTAAATAAATTGCCTGTTTTAGCATGTGCGCTTATTATTATTGCCTAAACATGATAATTTATTAACTGTACAGTGTAGTTATTTAATATTAACAACAAATACTTTCATACACATGTTAAATGTTAATATTTTTATTTTTACCACGCATAGATTGTGCTAAACTCGATGCATAAATACCAGCCCCGTGTGCACTTGGTCAAATTAAGGCCCGACTATCACTATAATGGCAATACACCGGTCATCAGTAATATCGAGTACCAACAGTACCGGACATATGTTTTCCCGGAAACACAATTCATCGCGGTCACAGCCTACCAAAATCAGCTGGTTTGTACACTCTATATGATTTATAGTTTTACCATAATGTTTATTATAAATGCTCTTTTATTCACCACATTTATCCAGAATATCTATATTTATATATAAATGTATTGAATATTATTTTTACCACAAGTCTATTATTATAGATTTGAAACTGTAATTACATATTATGCGAGAGAGATTTTTTGTGGGGTGTTTTAATAATATTAATTAACATTGATTTCTCTGCGTTATGTGATTTAATTCAGTACTATATACTGTATATTAATGTATAGTGTATTCCCTAATAATGTACTTCACTATAACCCCATCCCTATGGGATGGCGTAGTCATGTATGTGTGCGGTACAAACTATACAGGTATTTATATTCCGATATTGCTGATGATGGTAATAATAATTGCTGGAGTTTAATATAAAATGATTTTAATAATTTATATAAAACTTTTTAGATATATATATGTAATGAATATTTATTGAATTTTTTAGTGCAATAAATCAGTTTCCGAGAGAGAGAGAGAGAGAGAGATTTAGTACACTATTCAATACATACAATACCCACACCATAAGTGTACATACAATAAAACCTCAATGAATTATGTTGATATGTGTTCACANCCCTTTAGCTAACCCTTTACTGTGATAACTATAATACACAACACTTTTTTATTACGATCATGATGCATATGATTATGTTGATGATGATGATGATCCAGGTGCCCCGAAAGTATAAATTCCAATCGATCTATATCATACTTGCCCATAGGGTTTATTAATACCCCGTTCCCGCCCTATCCCGCGAGTCCCTATGGTTAGTACACTATCTGCGAGATTAATGTAAAATAACAAACAAATTAACATTTAATGAAATATTTTATATAAAATATTTAGTGAAATATAAATCTCGACATTATTTTTATGTTTTTTGTTGCTATAAATTATGATAATTTTTTTGTTAACTTTTTGTGTGAATTTTTAAATAGAAATAATTTGTTGAGAAAAACTAGTATTTATTAGTTGTTCACTAAAACGGGTTATTTTTTGTGTTTGTATTTTTTACACTGTATTTTATGTCATTTACCAATTATTTGAGTCTAATGTTTAATGAATAAAATAATTGCATAATTAGTTACATAGTTATATATTAACCAAAATGTGTTTTAATTAATTCATTTAATTAATTAATTGTATGTATTTTTGTACACAATTATAGATAACAAAACTGAAGATCGATAGCAATCCGTTTGCCAAAGGGTTTCGCGATTCCAGTCGTCTAACAGACCTGGAAAGGTATGAAATGTAAATACAGACAATTTTTTTACCTTGTTATTAGTTGTATTTTCCTGCTATTTCATTATAATTATATAAATAATTTTCTCCCCCGATGCTAACCCTATTGATTAAGCTGTTTTCTCTTTCTTACCATAATTATGTATTCATATTTGCGGCCAATAATTATTATTAACAATAATAATAATGAATATGTGCTGATCCTATGCCAGACCCATGTTTATTGATTGCGTTAACTTTATTATAAAGTGTGCTACACAATTAGCTCACGATATTTTACCCTATGGTAATTATTTTGATCCATATGATGGTCGTACTGTAATATTATTAATATTGAAACTAATTAATTCAACCAAGTTTTTGGCAATTGGCGGTTAGTCCCTACCTATATCTGTAAAATATAATCATTATGGTTTGTTTTTTTCTGTTTGTTTGGTTTTGTTTTTTATATAGGAGTTCACTATTGAATGAGTTAACTATACTTGTGTTTGTTTTGTATGGATTAAGTCATTATAACATTTAATACAAACACTGCACACGTTATGATTATAATAGTATTTTTGTGTTTGAATTTAAATGAATATGATTATCTTGTTTTCTTATTGTTTAAGCTAAATAAATATGATAATGGTTATGTTTCAATTATGCTAGTTGTACTTTTTTAATTTGATTGAGGCTTAAGTCATGCACCTTGATTAAAATGTTTTTTATTTTTGTTTTGTGCACAAAAAATATTTTACATTAAAGCAAATTATCACTGAATCCGATCCAAAGAGTGTCTTATCTCTTGCCCTGTGTTTGACATGACATCCAGTTTTGGTATTCATAGCCATTCGCTGTAGACATTGGGATATCATTTAAAATAACTATTAGATAATATATAAGCCATTATGGTATTTATGTATCAAAATCTCTCTCTCTCTCTCTCTCTCTCTCTCTCTCTCTCTCTCTCTCTCAGAAAATAACTTTAAAAACCATAAAAACTGAACCAAAACTTCTATAAACACTTAAAAATTACTTTTTTAAAAATCATAAAAATGATGATAATTTTGAAAACACATGTCAGATAACAAATACTTATTAGGAAAAGTTGTTTTATTAGTTAATATAAATATTTTAAGAATTTTTCCCGGGATCACTTTCCAGGAATAACACCTGTGTTGTTTTTACAAAAGTTTTGCACGTGTTAATTATTGGACTGTAAAAAGTTTGTAGGTTATTATTTTTAAAATAAAGGATCTATTTAAATTTTATTGTTTTAGTTCCCATACACCGATACTATCCACCTAAACCGAGCCAACCCCTGCCCTACACTGTTTGTCTATCAATTATAACACACAATATTAACGCATAACATATATTAGGGATATGTCTGTGAGAAAAGGGTTATAAAAGGATTTTAAATAATATATATAAGTATTTTTCAACAAAATTTATAGTGTATTTCCAGCGAAAAATTATTATGGTAAAAGATTTGCGCCAACGCTGTAGGTCTCTCTCTCTCTCTCTCTCTCTCTCTCTCGCATTGTCGCC